AGAATTAAACTTTGTTGGTCTTAAAGGTGCCACTGGCCTCAAACTTTGTACTGTTAAAGGTCTATTTGACATGTAATTTGGATGAACTCTGTAGTCCATGAAACATGGTTTTAGTCGGCATTTTTTGGTCCAGATGAATTCATTCTCCATCCCCACGTTTTCACAAGAACAAGATTGCTCAATTACTGTACATTTTTAGTAATTGCTGTTTAAAATGCTATGGTGTGCATGCAACGTCTGTTTCCTAAGTTGTGTTTTTCTGCTACTAAACAATATTCTCTGACAGTTGCTCCCTCTTCTTTTACCCAGATAGAATCTGTTGAATAGCACTGAAATGCCATCAGTGTGAATGATGCCATTCCGTCCCTTCTTTCCAGTACCAGTGCTGTTTTATGAAGTTTTATGTGTCGTACCAGATAGTTTTTATTTCCATCCTTTGTACAATAGGCCCAGTTTGCTTAATGCTATTCTGTATGTGTGACTTCACTTCCTTATTCTAATGGACTGTACTTAAAAAGACCAATATTAACTTAACATTGGCTACCATCTTTCCTGCAAATTATAGGGGGCTCTAAAGGTGTCCCTCCTGGTCTGTCCACAGCACACAGTGGTTCAGCCAGCTGCTTTGTTCCTTTTACAAATACTTTATTTTCGTGAGCTTGCATGTGTACAATTAAGTGTACACATTTCTCTTCATTCTGTATGGGGCAGCAGAATCCAGTTTTATTGTTTGTTCTTTCTTTTCCTTGTTTGTGTCCTGGTATGAACTTTATTAACTAGGAGCACCACCATAAAGACAACTCTGTTTGAGTTTCCTCTACTGACCAGTCAGAGTCCTGTTACATTTCCAAAGGTAATCTGTATCAAATTCCTGTCACTCTTCAAGGATTTTGATCTTTCATGTGGCTGTGAACATTTTCTCTTGAGGCTGGTGTATCCGTGACACTGATTTCTTGAGTCACTGCTCACTTCTTCAGATACCTGAAGAAGTGAGCAGTGACTCACAAAAGCTCATACCCTGCCACAAATTTGTCTTTAAGGTGCTACTGGTCTCTTGCTCATTTCTGTTGTTAAACCTTGTTTAACAGGATTGGCTACATGTCACCCTGGTTATAGAGTAAAGAGACTCCATTTGAAACAGGAAAAGTTGGGGAAGAGAGTATTCTTTCTGTAGCTCAGCCCTTAACTTTAGAATGTGGCAACTTAGGTTCAAATCCCCAGGAAGCTTAGGGTGATCTCTTTCAGCCTAACGCACTTCACAGGTTAATTATGAGGTTACAATAGGGGATTGATACAATGCCATGTGCACTCCCAGGTCTTACGTGGAGGGAGAGTGGGGATAGCTTTACCTGATTTCATTTTTAAAGGCGCTTAAGAAGTTGGCTACATTTCATTTGAACAACTATCGTAGTAGGATAAGAGGACCTGCTGCTGTAGTGCACCATTATTGTCTTCTAAACCAATGAGTTCATTTTTCAAACTGTTTGTCTGGTTTGGTTTTGGCCTTTTCAAGATGAAGTAGGTTTAAGAATAGGTGGAGTCCTTGATTATGCACATACATGAGGAAGCAGGTGACAGAAAGTGAATTAACTTAGATTGCAGTTTTTGTTAACAAAGATAACAATCTGTTACCTGCTTCCATATACTAACAGGACTTCTTACTCCCATATGAGCTCACCAATTAGCTTGAGATCTGTTTTTGATAGGCCTTCTCTGTGTGCAAGTGAAGGGGGTAATCAGTTTAAAGCACTGGTTCCCAAGGTGGGCAACACCACCCCCTTGGGGGTGCTGGAACTATCCAGGGGGGCTGAAACGATCCAGGTGCAGATCCACAAACTGCATCTTTTTGTCCACTTCTTGAAGGTAGATTTCCAGGGGGGCACTGAGTAATTTTCCCCCCTGAAAAATGGGTGGTAGGCTAAATATGTTTGGGAACCTCTGGTTTAAATCATTGGGGCTTTTCTGTTGTACTGCCTAGATTACAGAACACACTCTCCTCAAATGTTGCCTACTCCCTAGTACTGAGTTTGGGGCACAAGGCAACCCATTGGTATTTTTTCCAGACTTTTTGTTTAAGATTTTAATCTTTAAAATTGCTCCTAATTGTTGATTTTACTGTTTTCTTGGGGGTTTTATGCTGATCTTTCTTTCTTTCTCTCTTTCTATCTCTTTCTTTCTCTGTGTGACTTTAACAGATTTTTTGAAAATCTTGCTTTCCACTTCAAAAGCAAAGCTGATGGGTACAGGAGATACCATGTTTTAAAGTACTTTTGGAGTTATATGAATGGATAGCACATATGAAAATAAGACCTTTTAATGTCTATGACTACATTAGGTATGTGCTTTTTCCTTTACACCTCCAGATGGAAATTATTTCACATGAGGAAATCCTGCTGGATGGGATATTCAACCACTCCCACAGGAGTTAGCATGCACCTGTGTGAACAACTGTCAGAAATGTCACACACTTGAATCCTGGGAACAGTGTGTTTGTTCTTTATTGGTTTCGCTTGTGTAACATGGTTTAATTGGAAGGGGACGAGATCAGGGGAGAAGTAACCATAATCATTATTAGTTTTACTCACTATGACTGTGTGATATTGTATATTCGTGGTAGGTGGATGAATGAGTACACCAGGCTAAGTTCTAGCTCTAAAGTAACTGTTAAGTTACATCAGCAGCATTTAGTTTACAATGTTTGAAAGTAATCAGCAAAGTAATGGTTGATATGGCCATATGCATATACCTGCAATTGTAGGCAGTTTCAGCAAAAATTAATTGAGGCATAGGTTTTTAAAGCTCACTTTGTTAGATCCATGAAGTGTGTGGGGAAGGGGATATACGCAGAGAAGTGATTTTACAAAGTGAGGCCAAAAAGCCAAGCCAGCACAAGAGGAGTAAAGGTTCCAGTTGGCAACATAAGATGACTAGCATAAACATTTAAAGAGGAGTTTGGTAGCAAAAACTAAGAAACTAGTCTCAGCAACAAACTTGGATACCAGTTGTCCCCATATGTACTTGAACAACACTAGTATGGGATCCAACAACATCAAGTTCTGACGGTCAACCTCTAACATGAGGGTGGGTTAATCTACCTTTATTGGATCTCTTACTCTTTCCATTGGATCCTGTTTTTGTTGGACTGCTATGTAGGTGTCCATGTAGGAATTATATTTTGGCCCTGTGTTTACAAAACATTTCCCCTATTCCCTGCTTTTCCTTCCAGAATAGAGTTAAGATGCCAGTAGACTCTAAATATATATATAAACAGAGGAGAAGTCATGGTGGATCAGGCCAGTGGACCATCCTGTCCAGCACTCTGTGTCACACAGTGGCCAAAACCCAGGTGCCATCAGGAGGTCCACCAGCAGGGCCAGAACTTCAGAAGCCCTCTCACTGTTGCCCCCCCAACACCAAGAATACAGAGCATCACCACCCCAAACATAGTGTTCTATCTACACCTTGTGGCTAATAGCCATTCATGGACCTCTGCTTCATATGTTTATCCAGTCCCCTCTTGAAGCTGTCTGTGCTTGTAGCTGCCACCACTTCCTGCGGCAGTGAATACCACATGTTAATTACTCTTTGGGTGAAGAAGTACTTCCTTATATCTGTTCTACACCTACTGCTCATTAATTTCATTGAGTGCCCTTGAGTTCTTGTATTGTGAGAAAGGGAGAAAAATAATTCTATCTCTACCTTCTCTATCCTGTGCATAATTTTGTAAACCTCTGTCATATCACCCCTCAGTTGTTGTTTCTCCAAGCTAAAAAACCCTAATCTCTTTTACCTTTCTTCATAGGGAAGGTGTTTCATCCCCTTATTATTTTAGTTACCCTTTTCTGCACCTTTTGTAATGCTATAATATCTAATATTCCAAATGAGGCCACACCGTAGATTTGTACAGGGGCATTATGATACTGGCTGATTTGTTTTCAGTCTCCTTCCTAATAATCCCCGGCATAGCATTTGCCTTTTGCATGCTGAGTCGACATCTTTAGTGAGTTATCTACCACGACTCCCAAGATCTCTCTTCTGGTCTGTTACTGCCAGTTCGGATCCCATCACCGTATATTTATAGTCAGGATTTTTGGCTTCAACATGCATTACTTTGGGCTTGCCCATGTTGATCCTCATTTGCCACACTGACACCCACTCACCCAGCCTTGGCAGGTCCCTCTGGAGCCCCTCACAGTCCTCCCTGGTTCTCATCACCTTGAACAACTTAGTGTCATCCGCAAACTTAGCCACTTCACTGCTTACTCCCAACTCCAAACCAGTAATGAACTACTTAAAAAGCACTAGACCAATACCAAGCCCTGCGGTACCCTACTGCTTGCTACCTGCCTCTGTGAAAACTGCCCATTTATACTCTCTGTTTCCTGTTAATTAACCCATCAGTGGGGCGGGTGTACCTGTCACCCATAAGTTTGTTTCTAACAGGCATTTCTATAGCTTAAAATCATCTTACTTGTGAAGAATCGCAAATGAGTGGATGATACTAGTTGTGGCAGTTGTCCCCAAGTTGCCTTCAGCCGAAATGAGCATTAATGCAAGGAATTATACGCTGCTTTTTAAAAGATGCTGCCTGGATCTTCTTTCTCCTGCTTTTGTATTTATCATGACTAGAAATTGATTACCCCTGGCTGTATCTCCAGCGTATCTCCCTCCGACTTTGTATGGAAATGTAGATGTTAAGAGATGTTTTTAGCATCTGACAATAAAATAATTTTTGCAATTATATGCTGTATTTGGCACCTGCTGTGCCTCAGTCATTTATCTTTCCGTGTTTGCCAGACTGATCTTGGTATTGCTTGGAATCTCTTGATTTTAAGGAGCCCGAACTGAATTAATTTTTGCGGTGTATGTTTTGCAGATCTCTCGAGGAAGCCGGCAAGAGCCCAGAGTGAAAGCTGCCTTTCATCCCTCTGCCAGACCCAGTCTCCAGCACTGGCTCCCCTGATGGCAGTTGGCACTTCACTGTGAAACCTGCCAAGCTGGACGCCACAGCTTTGAACGACTGCACTTTGGCCACCACTGTGCCCTCTCCTGACCCAGCCAGCCATGCAGTCCTAGCCTGTCATGCAGGCATTCACGAAGAGCACTATGTAAGTGAAGCCGTGGAACACGATGCCTCAGACTACAGGGAGTACAGAGATGCCGGCACCATTACTGGTAGGCAAGCAAACCTGACTGTTCCATCTCTTTGCTCTGTGGCGGTAACCTCCCTCCCCCCTAGATGAAGTTAAGAAGTGGCTAAACTACATTTTGTAGAGGGAAAATGGTATATCATTACATTTCATCCGTAGTTCCAGTATAGAGGAAACAGTACTTTAAGCCTTTGCAGGTGCGAGAACCTTTCAGAATGGTCCATGTTTCCAGGGTTGCATGGATAATTAACACCTCTCCGATTTATTACATACAGTGAAACGTGTGTGAATGAATTGCATTGCATTTCTTCTGCTTTGTCAAGGTAGCTAGCAAAAATTACCACTTTCTCAGAGCCCTGGCTTGAAGGATGGGGTAATTTTGGTATTAGGGGTGATCTTGCGTATAGCAAAGGTGACATGTGGTGCCTTGAGCGAAATATGGACTCTGCTCTTGATTGTATAACAATATTTTCTTATGCGTTGACCTTGCCTATACTGGCTGCAAGGGTTGGACCCAGACTCCCCTACCTTCTCACATACAATCTGTATATTGTACATGCATTTTTCACCTCCCCACTGGTTTTGGGTGTTTCTCAAATGTAATAGAGCTCCGTGTTCCTCCTGCAAGAAACAGAATTAGGAAGAGTACAGATGTAGACTGACTACCAGTAATGTTTTTCTTCTGAGCTTCACGTTTGGGGAATGGAGGGCGCGGGGTGGACTGATTATTTTTCAGCTATGCAAGTTAATTTCTCCCAAGATAGGAAAGCTCAAGGATGGTGGCATCCAAGTACTACTGGGGGTGAAGGAGAGAAGGAGAGAAATCTTTCTTCCGCTGCAATTCACAGAATTTATGTTAATGGTGAACGTTAGGCATTTTTGTGGTTTCAAAAAGGAACAATGCAGGTTCCCATGGTTTTTCTCCTTGTTAGTAAAGGCAGGATCAGTATTCTCAGAGGGTCCTCAGTTGGCTACCCTTCTAGTGGGAGCAGAGGGGTTCAGGGCTACATGCTTGTTGCTCGTTGCTCAGTAGTCATGTGATGACGCTGGCATATCTGTTTGGATTTGAAAGTCCCAGGTAAGCAGACAGCCTTGTGCCACTATTTGCTGTTGTAACAAGAAACATCAAAAAAACTAAGATCATGGCATCTGGCCCCATCACTCCTTGGCAAATAGAAGGGGAAGTCGTAGAAGTAGTGACAGACTTCACGTTCCTGGGATCCCAGACCACCGCAGACTGTGACAGCAGCCAGGGATGGCAAAGGATGAGATGGTTAGACAGTGTCATAGATGCAACGAACATGAAATTGAGCAAACTTCAGAGGATGGTGGAAGACAGGAGGGCCTGGCGGGATCTGGTCCATGGGGTCGCGAAGAGTCGGACTCGACTGTGTGACTGAACAACAACAAGAAATGACATCTGCTCTGGGCAGGTTGCAGCAAAAAAGACTTTTTAAAGTGTTCCCTTGAGGGCCAGAAGAATCTATCTTAATATCCTCTTTCTGTTTGCGTGCCAGAGCAGCCCAGCTCATCACAGATGATCATTTGATAATGTTCCATAGAAGGAAATGCCAGACTCTTGCTTCTCTCATCCCCTGACAAGTTGAAGACTTATGGCTCTTTCTTTAGCATACATTCTCTGAGATACTTTGTTCTTTCATGATGTCATTTGGCAAATCTCTGAATGGCTGTTTAAATATGCAGCGCTCATTATTTGATGATAAAGAATGAGACAGACTATATTGGGCTGGCTGGCGTAAGCTTTTGAGCGCTTTGAGGTTCTTAGACATTTTTAAAAATCTGGAGTTTAATGCTGAAGGCATGCATTGGTGCGATTACTGATCTCATAAATTGTTGTCTACCCAACTTTCAGCTCGGTCATGTTTTCTCTTGTTTCATTTCTCATGACTGGCAGTTTTATTCATTTCAGAGTACTCTGGTTGTGTCGGGGTTCCCATTTTCCCAGCCTGAAGTGGCCTGGGGGTTTGATCCATTGGGGAATCTGGCATGTATCCCAGGGAACACCTTAAGTTTCAGGCTGGGAAAGTGGGACAAGAGGGGAGGCTGAAGCTGCTTCTCCACATGTTCCGTGGTCCTAATTCAAACTAGGCAGGGGGTGACGAGGGACTTACTGGCAGCAAACTGATGCCTAGGCCTCTGTCACTGGTGATGCACTGATGTCACTTCCTGTGCTCACCAGAACCAATGTCATCATGTCACCAGCGACATGGGGACGCTCTGGTATTTGGGCAAAAAACTCTATGGCAGAAGTCGTTTTTACCATAGTATTTTTGCCCAAGCTCCAGAGTGCCCCTGTGTCACCAGCAACATGATGATGTCACTTCCTGTGTGTGACAGAAGTGACGTCACTGCATTGCTACCAATCAAAGCCAGGCTTCAGTTTGCTGCTTGTAAGTTCCCTCCTAGCCAGCTGAACAGTGCCAGGGGAGGGCCCCCAAAGGGGTCTGGGAACGCTACTTAGCCTACTATGCTCAGGACTCTTTGTTTGTTATATATTTCATGGGTCACTTTTCAGTTTTAAAAAAGCACTTAGAATAGAAAAATGCATTAACACTCCCGTTCTCTAACAGCCGCTGCTGGAAAGGATCTTTGTTAGTGGTTAGGGAAGTCCTAAGATGGTAGAACTCAAAGAGCCACTTGTAGTCTCTTCAGCAACCTCTTGTGGAGTGCCTGGAACAAGCTTCTCGGGAGGGCATTATGTACTCCTGAGCCTGTGTGGTGTGGTTAGAGTGCCAGACTAGGATCTGGAAGACTCAGGTTCAAATCCCCACTCTGCCATGGAAACTTGCAGTGTGACTTAGGGCCAGCCGCACACTCTCAGCCTATCCGACATAATAGTTATTGTGAAGATAAAAATGAGAAGGTAAGAATGTTGTAAGCCACTTTGGGTTCCCATTGTTGAGAAAAGTGAGGTATAAATTAAGTAAAATTAAATTCTTTGGAAAGCCTCTCTTCCAAAACCCACTCCTTTTAGGAAAGCCCAGACTTGCCTTGTCTGCACTTCTCTTACTGTGGCCCATGATCCAGTGTTCCCTCTAAGCTGAGTTAGTGTGAGCTAGCTCACAATATTTTTGAAAGCCCAGACTTGCCTTGTCTGCACTTCTCTTACTGTGGCCCATGATCCAGTGTTCCCTCTAAGCTGAGTTAGTGTGAGCTAGCTCACAGTTTTTTAGCCTCCGGCTCACACATTTTTGTCTTAGCTCAGGAAGGAGGGCCCCAGAGCAAACTAATTCATGCAGTAGCCAAATCGCTTGCTCACAACTTTAATGCCAGTTGCTCACCAAGTAGAAGGGAGGGAGCATTCCTCGTGACCATTCCTGTACCACTGCAAAAAATCGACACGGTGGATCAGTTGAGACTGTGTCGCTGAAAGGCCGTAATACACCCACCAAAAAACTATGAGGCAGGTTAGAGAAAGGAGACAATGAAGAAAGAAATAAAGTAGTAAGGGTAGAGGCACAGGTTGCTTACTTCTGAAGAGCTGCTGCTGAACATCACACTTCGAAAACCATATTCTGACTCCACAATCCAGGCCATTTCTTTCCATTTATTTTTGGTCCTGGCCAATGTTCCCTCTAAGCCGTGGAGTCTTGTGAGCAAAAATCCTACTTTGTGAGCTGCTGGCATTAAAGTTGTGAGCGAGCCATTTGGCTGCTGCATCAATTAGTGTGCTCTGGAGCCCTCCTTCCTGAGCAAAGACAAAAATGTGTGAGCCGGAGGCTAAAAAACTGTGAGCAGGCTCACACTGACTCAGCTTAGAGGGAACACTGGTCCTGGCTGCAGCAAACACTGGGACTGTGGCTGCTTACCCAGTTACATTCCTCCTATCTGACAGGTGATGCTGACTTCATGTTGTTCATGTTTTATGACTTTCAAAGAGTTGACAAAAATTGCCTAGGAGGGGATGATCACTTCCTTCTTGTAAAACATGTTCTTAAGAGGCCTGCTTCCCCTTTTCCTGAATTCTGTTTGACTAAATAGTGTTTAGCAACTGTTGCTTAATTTTCGGAAGCCCAGCTAATGCATATTGCCACTTGACTGCTTCTGCTGTCTGAAATGCTGTGGCAGCTTGTTTTTCTGTTGCCTTGCAACAAGCCAGCCTTATTAAAATTATCTGCCTGGAAATGTTTAAGGTGTGAGGTCAGTATTTGTACATACACAAGTGTAGGTCTTTTAAAAACCACTTTAGGTAGAGGGGGAGGACCCCGAACTAGAATTCCCTTTGGGAAACGAGTAAGTTGCTTGCAGTGGACAAAGTTCAGCGACAAGTATATATAACTTATCTCCTGGGCATAAATACTTGATTAGAGTGAAGTTTTTCATAAGAAGGAACATGATGTTAGATTTAGTTGCTAAATGAGAATCTGCATTGTTACATAAAGATCCATTTATAATCAGCATATAGGGAATGTAAATGGAAAGAAAACAGAAATGTAGAATGGACCTGTGCAGTACTGTTCTAAAATACTTAGCTTGGCACAAATCTGAATTAAGTAATTTGGGTTGGAAACACTCATATTATTATTTCCATTGTTTGCTATGAAAAATGGGAAAATCTTCCCTCTCAAACATAGGGAAAGTGTTGAATCATAGTTGGTTGGGCTGACTGTAAAATGTCAGCCCTGGTTCTTAACGGATACCCTGCAGTTCAAGTAGTACATATTTGTACCATTACGGTAAAGCCCAATAGCAGAGAAGCTCTGTTTCACTTTCTGTTTCCACCCCGCTTTGGATGGACAGAAATTGCATGCGTGAGCTTCCATGCAAATATGTATGTCGCATTATGGCATTTCCGGAGTCCTAGAATGCTTTCACACGTTTTTATACCATGCTTCCTCCAAGGAACTCAAGGTGGCATACAGCTTTTTTCCTGTGTAAATGTGTCTTTATACAACTCTGTGAGGAAAGTTCGGCTGAGAGTGTGGGACTGGCTCAGGACTGCCCAGTGTGCCTGGTGGGTTGAATGGGGTCTCGAGCCCAGATTTCTCCTGGCACTGGCACTCA